AATGCAGCACTTTTTGTTTGCAATGAGACATTTGTTTTTATTCTAAAATATCTGAATTACTTTGAATAAAGCTGGAAATTATGTTCCTTAAAATAATTAAACAAATAAGGCATGTTTTTGTAAGATATTTACATCTTTTAAGGACATTCGGTAGACTGATTCCCCACTGTTGGTTCAACCCCAAAACTTGTTTGTATTCAAAATTAATTATGACAATGCATATTTATATTGAAACAAACAATGATAAAGGGAATTATATTATATAACAAAGGGCAAGGTCACCAGAGTTCAACTATGTTTTTAAATTTGCAAATTTTTGAATACTCCTTAATTCTGCTTCATACTCTCAGCACACAAGTTTTTTCTATACTTTTTTTTAGATAATACTTAAATTTTTACATCGCACATTTTACTGTTGAAGCATTATCCATATTTAATTAAACGTTCAACTTTTCTTATTTTCTGCAGTATTGACACCTTAACTGTGGTGTATCGCATAGGAGTACTTTTTAAAGGCAGACCAGAATTGATACATGATTTCAATTTATTTCTACCGAGTAACTATAGGCTGTACATAGACTCAGGAGATGTCAGTAAAATAACTGTCATTATAGATGGTGATTGTTCTATGTCTCTAGATGCACTAGCAGAACAGATTGAAAAAAATATATCAACAGTAAGTTGAAAAATCTATTATCTCATTTGATCAATTTTGCATTTATGATTGATTCAATATGCTTGAACTCTTTAATAGAACGACAAAGACAATCTTATAATGGATCCATTCAATCCAAAGTACTGGGCGAAAGATCGTGTATGAGATCCACGAACCAGATTAGATTTTGCCATCCATTATGAAAAAGTTGCTAATCATTTGTAATTAGATTTCTCCCTAACATAAAATGTAAAAGTAATTTAATGGGTGTATATTCGATTTGTTTACAGGGAAGTCCATCATCTGAGGCTGGTGCTGTTGGAGGTGAAAGTACTAACAGCACTTCATCTGAAGTAGATTCAATATTACTGAATGAAGTACTATCACGGCTAGGACAACAACACTAAATTGGTGAACACAAAAAAGCTGTGTTCTATGAAACTTAAACGAAGTGGTGCCCTTTTGAAAGTGATTAAGCTTTTGTCATGGATGTTTATTATTTTGTAATGAAAGCTGATTCATGTGTTGACTGCTTGCCAATTAATATTGGATTAATAGAATTCAATTATCGCTGTATCGTAATGTTTTTAAGTTCAGCTGGTAAATCATCTCATAAATACACTTCCTATGTATAGGAAGTAAATTGTAAACTGATACATCAGCCATCGGCCATCACCTCTATGATTTTTTCTGCAGATTAAATTTTCTGACATTTAAAGGTTATTTATTCCCATCAGTAAAATGTAAACACTGATTACACATGAGTAATCCCCAAGATCTAGTATAATCCTTGGAAAGCCAAAGTTACATCTTCAAAGGGCACATTCTCCTATCCACAATTTGTTGTATTTTTCATTAATTGTATTGGATATATTATTAGTGGTTTGTTACACCATTACTGAATTCAGCAAAACTATTACTATTTGCTGGTTTTATTCTGCTGTGTTCTACAATGATATCTATAACAAGCCTTACAGGATCAGCGACAGCTCAATTACTGCAACCACTGTGACAATCACCTGAGCTTTGATGGGCACAAAGTGATAATAACGTAACACTAGAAAAACTGACTACATATATAGACAAGTTCGTATACGATAGCTGATTGTCAGCAGGTAATAACTATACCCATTTACAAAATTACACTCTAATTTGCCATAATATATTAAAACTATAATCTCCTTAAAAGATTTTCTCCTCTTTGATCTAGTTGCATTAAACATGGATTACTTAGTACCATTTCTACGGTATATTAGGAAACATCAACCCCCTAACTATTTAAGATGCAAGTCAGTTGTTTTTCTTCGGCATTCCAACTGATTGAGTTTTCTTGAATATAATTATATCAACACAAAACATGACTCAGAATTTCAATCGATTCTCATTTGTTTCTTCATGTTTATTTCCCCTTATCTTCATGTACTGTGCGTAGTATCTGATGTCTGTCCAAAAGCTTAATATACAAATACCTCATTCACTAGTACACATTCATTTAGGGAATTGTTAATGATGTGTATCATATCAAGAATCGTTTTTCTTCAGATATGGTCCACATTCATATGTCAATGTACGACTAAATATACAAACCATATAAAATATGTATACACTCGTTGTCTCTAGGGTTGTGTGCGTGCATTTTGAAAGCATGTTTCTTTACTCAGTACTTGTTATATATCTGACAGGGGAGTGGCCATGTAAATATTTAACAATGTCCAGTTGTAAACACTGTTGACGAGGAAATAATTCTGTGTTTACCGCGTACTTGGTGTAGAAATAAATTATTAATGCAAGTGTACTCCCACCGTGGACACAACTGCATGTCAGTTTGCTAATTTGGGAGCTAACTTCCTGATTTTGTTTCTCTTTCAAATGATTTCAGCTAGTTGTATTTACTGTTGTTGGCATACAGTTCATCTACAATAATACTGCAAAATACTTTCAAATGTATCCGTAACAATTTTAAAATACCGGAAACAAGCCAAACATGTTGAATGGTCAGTATGTACGAATGACTCGAAATTGGTGGCATGAGAAATTACAATATATGTTCAACTATATTGTAACTAACAGTATCGTTATTACAACATTGAATATGAAATATTTTAATTAATGAACGAGTATATGATATATATGTATTAATTTTTTACTCCACTGACCATGAATACTCGGCGTTTATTACACACTATTTAGAGTCGTCTTTTTGGTTTAAGGTGGCGTAGTGGTTGGCGAGGCTCAATGCTGTGGTCTAAATCTTGTGTATCACACTGAGCAGGGATTCCTGTCAGTTTCTCGCAATCCTCATCATGCTATGTATACATTTCATGAACACTTGGATATGAGAGGAAACAGGAACAAGAAACAAGAAAGACGAGACTCATAACTCGGCACTATATGCAGACGCGCTTTCTGTTACGTCATGTCCCACTGCCCCAAATGGCAGCTTTAAATAACATTTAGTGAACGTGTGTAATTTGAATCTCTACTATGTATTCAGTCATAACACTGTATACATAAAATTAAATAAATGACAGTAAATGTGTGACAGTGGGTGACAATTTGTTACTTGTATCTTTGATATAAACCCTGTCATTGAATGGCACGGTCAACAGCCCTGAAATGTTCGTTGTGTGACCTCGAACGTCGTTAAACTTGCTGGTTAGTCTGGGATATGTTAATTTGATATCGTTTAAAGCTCATAGTACGTATAACATAACTTCACGAATTGATGAACTGACTAGGTCTTTCATGATATTGACATGTCGTATGAGAGTCAACATATTCTACACTATGAACCAGATATTTGCATCAATATTTCAAGAAAAGGAATATTGAAAATACCTATTCACACATTCCTGATATTTGCAACTGGACTGTCAATTACGATAGGTGTTATGTGTATGCCATGTATGAATTTACTTCATTGCACGGCTCAATGATGCAGTGAAATTAACTGATGTGTTTTATAAATTGTACATAATATATTTAAACATAAGACTTGTCCACGCACGCAATGATACTGTTCAGGGAACAAGTATGTACGCCCGAGAGTGTGGGATGTATTACTATTTCAACCGTTTTTCCAGAATTGGATCGAATTACTAAACGCAGTAGCTTTCTAAAATAGCTGTTCTACAATATGGTATATAGTAGACACTATTGTTGTTTAAGTAACTATTTTAGCAATGGCTCTTTACAAGTTGAATGTTTATTAACTGTAAAATCGTTATTTAAAACCCCAAACCCGGTAACATTGATCATTGTGCCATTATACATGTGCCGGTCGATATGAAGAAAATTCACAAACATATTTCGGTATCACATAAATGTACTCGTAGTTAACATGAGTAGAACACAACTTGATCGGTGTATGTTCTAATAGTGCAAGTAGTGGTTGTTGGTTATTGTTATTACGGTTAATAAGGATTATACTAACACTTCAGGCAATATGGTCAACTAGATCAAATAAACCATTCAGCATAATCTAAAATAATGCAATAAATACCATGCCAGGTGATCAATAGTATGCAAGACACGTCTTGCGAAAACCAATAATATCACAATCTATTATTTCAAATATAGGCTGAACAACTGTCAAACAAATCCGCTGCAAGATGAATTGATTCCTTACTGTGTACGTTCTTCTGAGTATCGTGAAGAGTGATTTCCCTAGGCTACATTGCCGTAGCAGACATGCCTTTGTATGAAACCATTCCATATAATCATTTTCTGAAGATTAGGTTCTCTACAGAAAATCTGTATCAAGCTGTTATAACGCGTTCTCGGTGAAATATTGTGTCATTGACTTAATCCCCTAAGTGCGAACAGTACTGAAAACACTTCTATAATGGAAGTTGTATTTTTATTGTTTTGTCAGTGATTACCTTTAACATAAACTATGAGGAGGTCGATGAATTGTTGCATATCTGGAAATAAATTCGTTCCAGTAATAGAGCAGAATGTACAATTCTAGTTCTAATTCTCGCTATGTATGGGGATTTACAAAGCAGAAAAAACAATATGCAATGCACACGTTCTACAAAGAGAATGATACCATAACCTCAAGGCCTACAGGCAATAAGTGATGTTGCGTTCTCCACATTTGGCACCTACAATGTAGCAGTGCTAGAAATGAATGGTCTACATCAGACAAGTGACAGTGATGGCAACATAAATTACCATCTATTGAGTGCACTGCGAATTATGAAACTGGCTTTAAAATAGACTTACATATTGGGTTCCATTCGCAACGTCATTTGACGTACATGTAATCATGTCGGACGTCATTGGGACGTTCGCTATGTTCGCCTTACGCAAAATAAGTTAAATAAGCTATAATATTATCGTAGTACAAAACGTTAATTGTGAATTGTTAATCTCTTCAAAAGTTGGATGTATTATCCGATGTACTAGAAGGTACGATCATATTGTCCTGCAGAAGGATTCGTGTAATAATAATTTAAACGAAATTGCATTCGGAACCAGCGACATCGTTAATTTGGATAATCCTTAGTCATTTGGGTTATTGGGAGTGCAGAATTTATTAAGCATACGATTTTTAACCTGGTGACTATATGCTTCGTACTAAAAGATTATAACGTCAGGCGAACCAGGAACATAGTTATTATGGAGAGACGATAAATAGTACGGGCGGGCATTCGAACTTACAGTGTTATACCTGCCGCTCAAATGCAGCTCCTGTTAATTTGGCCCATTCAGTTATTAGATTTTGATATCTCATT